CAGCAAAAAGCATGACCTCATGCAAACATGTACATTTATGCATTTGGCAGATATTTTTATCCAAAGCAACAGTACATTTGAGGTATATAACCAGTAAAGGCTCCATCATCCTCACAACCCTACAGAGGCCAAGCGGTTTGGCGAAGGGCTGGATGCATTTACCACTAAACCTACAGGAATACTATCTGTGATTCTGAAGTTTAGTGCAAGTAGTAGTTTGTGTGTCACTGTAAATTCAACAAAAAGTTATTACACTATGCAAACATTTTGTTGTATCAAAACTCAAATGGAAAGCATTTCTTGTCAGTCCAGTTAGACTGCACCTATAGCTGAAGACAATGCTGCTTTGCTTAGTGAATCAACTCTTGAATAGTTTCTAAATTTAAAAGAGAACAAAACCACTATCGTGTCACTAAACAGGCCTATGCTGTTCTTGAAAGTCACTTCAAGTGAAATGTAATGTCAGGGACAAAGACAAGGCAATGCACTTTCACAGATAGACCAAAAGTCATGTACTAGTACATGAAAACAATATGCAACTCTATAAGCAGCTGATGAAAACAGGAACACTAGTTTCCTCCTCTCAGTAGGAGACTCCTTCTCACACTTTCTTTCACACTTCCTGTTCTGAGTTGCCAAAGCACATACCACAGAAATGGTCAAGTTAAACAGACAGACCAAGGTAAAATATAACAACCGTACTGTACCTTTAAACAGGCAGCCGCTGATGTTACTTCATAATGTCCACCCATAAAGCGACAATCTCGTTGAAAAGTACTGTTAAGAGTGAAACTCTCCACAATTGGACATTAAGTGCAAGCAAAGACTGAGACTGAAGTTTAACTGAACGTGCAGAAGCTTCTGAAGCTGGAGCTGCTCGCGTTAAGGACTCATGTCTTCAGAAAGCTGCAGACAAGTTTGAGCAAACACTAGCGCGCGTTCACAGAGAGGCACTCGCGTCCACGTGGACCTGCATCCGTCTGTTTCTATAGCAACCGAAGAACGCACGCGGAAGTTCGATTTAGATTGTTCTTTTAGTTAAATCACAAAGAAGTAGACCTACAATGCAGTTGTACAGTTCAGAGTATGTGAAATCAAATTGAAAACAAACTAACAAACAAAATACGAAGATAAAGAGGATTATACGTTAAGTGAAGTTAAGTGAATGAATTTAAATGGACGCATGGTGGAATAATAATAATAATAATAATAATGCACTATAAACGTATTTTAGAAATGGATCAAAACAAAGTGAAAATACATTAAAACAATAATAATAATAAAACAATTATATAAATAATACCTTACATAATACAACATTACACAGACCCGGTTAGATATCTAAAATAAAAAATAAATAATAATAAAAAAAAAAAAGTAAACGAGAAAGCAAATTGATATGTCTCTCAAAAATATATCATTTTTTACATCTGCTTGTTATTTAGCATTTTATCTGAAGTAGGCTTAAAAGAAGTTTTACAATGTTACAAAACAGAATACAGATACATTATTGAATTATTCAAAATATGAATAGAAGTAATAGAAATAAAATGATGAATTAATATAATATATAATAATAATGCACTATAAAATAATTTATAAATGGATCAAAACAAAGTGAAAATACATTTACATTTTTTTATATAAATAATACCTTACATAATACAACACCACACAGACCCGGTTAAATATCTAAAATAACAATAAAAATAAAAAAAGTAAACGAGAAAGCAAATTGATATTTCTCTCAAAAATATATAATTTTTTACATCTGCTTGTTCTTTAGCATTTTATCTGAAGTAGGCGTAAAAGAAGTTTTACAATGTTACAAAACTGAATACAGATACATTATTGAATTATTCAAAATATTAATGGAAATAATAGAAATAAAATGATGAATTAATATAATGTATAATAATAATAATAATGCACTATAAAATGATTTGATAAATGGTTCAAAACAAAGTGAAAATACATTAAATAAATAAATAAATACAAAACAATTATATAAATAATACCTTACATAATACAACATTACACAGACCCGGTTAGATATCTAAAATAACAATAAAAAGAAAAAGAAAAGTAAACGAGAAAGCAAATTGATATTTCTCTCAGAGAAATTTCTCTCATCTGCTTGTTATTTAGCATTTTATTTGAAATAGGTTTAAAAGAAGTTTTACAATGTTACAAAACAGAATACAGATACATTATTGAATTATTCAAAATATGAATAGAAATAATAGAAATAAAACGATGAATTAATATAATATAGCAGTTCAATTTTTCTAGAAAGTTGAAGGTACTAATGTATAATATGCAGTGCCATTTAGTGGATTAAAAAAAAGCAGATTCACAAGGCAATCAGCAGACACGAATACTTTACATATGACACAGTTTAAAAGGTAAGGTCAATGGAGCTAATATTGTTAATATTGCTAATATTGTAACTGAGAAATGGCATGTCTGTTATTTAGGTGTTACAGATGCTTGTGTGTTACTAGTAGGCCCTGGTAGTTTGGACTCTACATTCATGTTGAATGCACGACTACATTCGATCATTTAGCAGTAGTGTTTCAGTGACAGGGCCATGTTGGGTTTCCTGTCTGTAAAGCACAGAGCCTTCTATACATGTGGGCAGCCGCGTGCATCAGAGCTGCTTACTTACCTGCACAGCATGCTTCAGTACAACTGTGAACGTCTTTAGCATAAGTCAAGACTTTCATGTCTGAAAACAAATATGCAAATGTTTCCCTTCTCCCCACGGCCTGGTTTCTCTGAATTACTTTCTTGACAATAGTAATTGCACAGTTGCATATGCACATGCAACTGTGGTTGTGCATGCTTGATAGACAGAGTGAACACTGGCTAGTGGGGTTTGTGGTTGTGCAGAGGAAAATTTTAACCAGGAAGTGGTGATTAGCTGCAGAATGAATGAAATCCAC